TAAAAAACTTTAGACTTACTTTAAAATAGCACTAGTTAGTTAAAGAAGGTAACACTAGCTAACTATAAAAACTAAAATAGTAAGCTGTATTACTATAACTAACTTATAATTTTTAATTTTAATAAACTAAGAATTAAACTACTTTAAATTATACATAACTTGCCTATTAGAGAACACCTAGGCAGAGAAAAGACTCTTAACCTACTACAGAGAGAGTACTACTAGCCCTGCATGTTCTATACTGTACGCTAATACGTATTATGTTGCTATACTTACTATAAAGTAAAGGCCTTTTAAAAAAGGTATAATAGCCTACTTAAACTACTCTTAATCTCTAAATAAGCTTAAAAAGACATATTAATTAATTTTATTATAAACTTACCTTTATCTAAAGGGTATATAAATATTATAGTAGTTATTAATTACTTAACTAAGTATTAACACTTAATACTATGTTTCTTTATAACTGCTTCTAATATAGCCTAGTTATTCTACTAATACATATAAGTTTACTATAGCCTGCCTAATATAATTATATTAGATAGAGGTACACAGTTTGTCTTAGCCTTCTAGGATAAACTTTATAAACAGCTCTAAATTATCCTCTATTTATCTATAGCTTTTTACCTAGAGACTAACAGCTAGACTAAGAATGTAAACACTATAATAAAATAAGTTTTATAAGTGTACATAAACTACTAGTAAGATAACTAGGTAAAATAGTTAGCTACAGCATAGTTTAAAGCTAATAACATAACATTTAAATTAACATAAGTATCTTTATTTTTAGCAAACTATAGATACTACCTTTAAATAAAATTTAAACTACTTTTAAATACCTTCTAACTAACTTATTAATCTATATAAGTAATAAATGTAAATAGACTTATTAATAAAATCTAAAATATATCTAAATATGTTTATAAAAAGCTTACATAAGCTTAAGCTTTTTAATAAGAGTATGTAAACTAATTCTAAACTTCTACCCCTGTGTATGCAGCTAGCAAAAAGGTCTAGCTAGACACTAGAAATATCTAAATAAACTAATAATTAAAGAAACTTAATTAAAAAAACCTTAGCCTTTTTATAGTAGCCTATATAGTCTTATTACACACTTACTAATTAATCCTACCTAATAGCATAAAAATACACCCTGTGTTCTACGTATTATTGCTGCGCTAAGTAGCTTTTAAATCTAACTATCTACCTAAACAGCTAAACCTGCTACCTAAACTTATTATTATAAATAATAAACTAGAATATGTTATAAAAGACATTAAATAGATCTAGTTTAATAAAAAAAAATGTATTTATAAATACTTTATAAAATAGACTAGATACAACAAACTATTATAAGAACCTATAAAAGCCTTATAAGAGAACTCTATAGTAACTTAATTTTATGCCTAATACCTATCTAAACTAAACCTGTACCCTAACAAAGACAACCTAATGCTAGAACTACTAATATAAAGGATTCCCTTTTTAATAAAGAGGGGGGTACTGTTATAGTATCCTCCCTAGATCCTAGACATAACTGTATTAGACATGTACTAGAGTATTATTAGTGCACATCTAACATAAATATAACATAATATAAATATAAACTTAAGCATAAACTGCCTTAACACTAACTAAACCTAAAATAGGCTTAATTTATACTTAAAGTGCTTAGACTTTTAAGCTAAGTATTTAATTACTAATTTTCTTTTAAACCTTTCTGTTTCTTACACAACGTCTTGTACCTACTATAATACCTTACGTAGTAATTAAACTAGACCTCTGTGAAGCTCTATAACCTTACTCGTGCACAATCGTGACAAGTATCTAGAATTATAACATGTACAACTTTAGTAAGACAGGCTTTATAATAGGCTAAACATTTATTAACTATACTTGCGCTTAAAACTTTACTTTTAGCTTTAAATAATGCTTTATAAACATACTAGGCTAGTTTATGCTAATGTAGCTGTAACAATCCTCATGAATTGTTCCATCTCGAGTCGCCCGGAACCTCCGGAAGGCCCTCGTATCAGCCCCGACCTCGACCTGGCCCCAACTCTGCCCTGCCCCCTGCTGTACCCCTATTCCCTTATGTATTTAGTTGCACCTTGCCCCTGTAGCTAGCTTAGTAGTTTTCTAATATCCTTTTATATAAGGCCTATAGGTGTTAATAGCATTCTTAGGTTCTAAGTCCCCACGCACTTCTATATGCCTCTAAGTAAATTCTTACTGCATTTAGACCTATTATCTTGCCTGTGCTGTTATATTATATTAGAAAACTTACTTTTGCTAGTAACAGCCTTATTAATAATATTACATTAATTATTTGTTTAACTATGTTTAACTCTAAGAAGCGTCTAATTTAGTTTAAGTTATAATCCTTACACACTATTATATTAAACTATTTAGTTTATAGACTAGATCTTATTAACCTCTAGTTAACTAAAGCCTTTAGGTTTAAAACTTCCTATCCTCTATAATTAGAATTACCTTTAAAAAAGTTGTAAAGAATGCGCTAAGGTAGAAACTTAGAGACTACTAATAACTTATTAGAATTAGAGACAACTACTAATGCCTAACTCTTAACTACTAACTACTACCTTGTTAACAGCTAAACCTGCGTCTGCAGAACCTAAAGCTAGACCCACCTAATTTAGAGTTAACTTCTAGCAGTATATTAATGCTTAATTATAAGCACAGCTTAAGCAGCTAATCTACTAAAACACTGCTAAGCAACTACTAAATTACCCCTAATAATGCCTTAAATTACCTCTGCTACCCTAATAGCAAAAGACCTTTAAGGCACCCCTAATAACACTTAAATGTCACTACACTAAACGCACGTCTAAGATTAATAACTGCACAAATAGTAAAGAACAATTAGCTAGACATCTATACAGATTAATATTAGAGTAGGCGCGCACGCATGGCGTTTTAGTTTAGAGGACACTGCTAGCAGTGCAAAGGAATACTTAGCAAGAACACCTAGCTAAATTAGACTAGTTTTAGTTTAAGAAGGCAGAGGACATAACAGCAATACTTTATACTATAATTACTACTAATAGGGACTATTAGTCTACAGAGGGGGGGTAGTGTAATAGTTTTTATAAATTGTTCTATCTTAAGTTGCCTAGAACCTCTAGAAGGCCCTTGTATTAGCCCTAACCTTAACCTGGCCCTAACTCTGCCCTGCCCTCTGCTGTACCTCTATTCCCTTATATATTTAGTTGCACCTTACTTCTGTAGCTAGCTTAGTAGTTTTCTAATATCCTTTTATACAAGGCCTATAGGTGTCAATGGCATTCCCAGGTTCTGAGTCCCCACGCACTCCCATATGCCTCTGAGTGGATTCCCACCGCATTCGGACCCATTGTCTTGCCTGTGCCGTTACAGTAGCCTAGATTACACTTAGCGCGCAAAGAATTAGCTATAAATGCTATAAATGCTATCTAAAGGGAAAATTCTTATAAATATAGCTTAAGTATATTCTTAACAATTACCTACTCTTTATTATTACCTAGCCTTTGTAAGTTAGCTATAGAATTAGCTTATAAAAGTTATTTAACACTTTAGTTATTTATTATTTTTTAAGAGACTTTATACATAGCTGTAGCATATTTCTTTAAGAGTTTTATATTTTGTTTAAAAGCGTAAAGCGTAAGCTGTATCTAACATTCTTTTAGCGTGTTTAAGTAGTGTTGTTAGGAATCTATTAGTGTAGGAAGGGTAGTTTAGTAGGGTCTTAGTAAAAGTAAGCAACTCAGGTGTGTGAGCAACTCGTCTATGAAGTACGTTATAGGCCTTGTACAAAAGGATATCAGAAAACTACCGGGCTAGCTACAGGGAAGTGCGACTAAATACTTGGGGGAATAGGGGTAACAGCAGGGGGCAGGACAGGGTCGGGGGCAGGACAGGGTCGGGGTCGGGGCCGATACGAGGACCTTCCGGATAGGTTCTGGGCCACTCGAGATCGAACGATTCATGAGAATCGTTACAATGCATGGCTCTCGCGATAGTCGCATGCATGTTACGATAAGTCTCATGTTGCCAAGACTTACCCCTTTTCCTGCACATATATAGACCTCTAGGTTCATACCTCTAGCAATCAATCTAGTTCCTCATGCCTCTGATGCTCCTCCTAGCTTCACATACTGTTATTGCAGATCTCTTAACTGTATTGCTAGCACAACTGCTAGCACAACCGCTAGCACAATTGCTAGTTCCGCTTCTTCAACTGCGGCTTAACTGTAATAGGCTGGTGCCTATAGGTATCACCTAGAGATTAGCTGATAGGGATAGGAAAGGCATAAAGCAAATTGTAGCAGATTATAGCAAACTGTAGTATACATTAGTTGTGTTGTATGTAGCGCTAGCTAGCTTTTTGACAACGCTGCCCCTAAGCTAGATAGGTGTTACGGTATAACATCTAGTTCTGTAGCAAGTACACAGTTTGCTTCACTAAATTTAATACTATTTCTACTTTTCCCTCGCTGGCCTTCGGAACTACTAATTGGGCTGGTGTCCAGGGTATTAGCTAGAGCTTAGCTGGCAGCGTTAGGAAAGGCATAAAGCAAATTACAGCAAATTACAGCAAATTTCAGTAAACTACAGCAAACTGCAATAAACCGCAGTAGATCACAGCAGCCTGCAGTAAACTGCAGTACACCTTAGTTGTGTCCCAAGTGGCGCTAGCTAGCTAGGTGCTGCTGTATAAAACCTAATTGTGTAGTAAGGACACAATTTCTTCACTAAATGTAATACCATTATTAAGCATTTGCTAGCTGCGCTAAGTCATTACATTAACAAGCAGGATTATAATATTAATAGATGCAGTTCTTTAGTAACATTCCACTTCTTTCGCTTGACTAACCTACATTCCTCGCTGGCCCAAGGGACTGGCATATAACTTGTTTAAATATTTATTCCACCTCAATGATCGTCCAGGCTTCCAGCCTTCTGTCTGCTGACTCTTCTCTACGTGCACATTTCCCAGTCGCTTAAAGCCCGTCACCATTGTATGCTAGTTTGTTGGGAGTTCCAGCGGGAACGCTAGTGATCAACCCCGTCGATGCCCACTGAAGCAGTTTTGACAGCGACTGCGAAGGACCTGTGACACCGTCCTTTGCCATAAAGTAGGCGACGAGGCCGGAGACATGAGGCGTTGCTAGTAGCGGTGAGAACAATTTAGCCTTGTAACTTTAGATTTCTTGAACAAGGGACTTACCCATACTAGTTCCAGACAAAGTGGCATAACATGTTGCACAGGTATTGTAACTGCTAAAAATACTAACACCCGGCGCAATAATGTCCACAATAGTGCCGAAGTTCGAGAATGTCGCAAACTTGTCAGTTGAGTCGCTTGCAGCTACTGTGATCGCGCTTGGGGCCGAAGCAGGAGATTGAGTATTTGCATTTACGGCACTGTTGCCAGCCGCGACCACTACAGTCAGGCCAGCAGTGGTCGCAGCAGCTACCATCTGATTCATTGCCGTCGACAGAGGGCCTCCAACGGACATGTTAATGACTGACTTGGTGGTACGACGATTGGCGATAGCGTTGTTTGCGGCTAGGTTGTTTATCAGGTCAGCTAACATTCGCGAAGCTTTTTTATTGATGCTTACCCCATTGAAGACCAGATATTACACCCGATGTTGGACCAGAGCCGGTAGAGTCCAGTACTTTCACCGCCACGAGGTTGGCAAGTTTGGCGACGCCCACAAATGTTCCGGCAGCTGTCCCGGCAACATGGGTGCCATGTCCGTTCTGGTCTGTGTTCTACGATCGATTATTATCTGATTGTGAGACAATTTAGTAGCTGGTAAGCTTACAGGTGAGCCTGCAATGAAGTTTGCGCCCCAAGACGCGCGGTTTGTGAATTCCTTGCATAGTGTTAGCAGGTTTCTCCCAGCTAGTCTTTCTTTTCCTTTCTATATGGGGATAGAGCGGGGGACACAGGGGAAAGGGGGAGGGGGAGTGGAAGTGGGAAGGGCTTAAGCCTACCTGGTGTCCGATATTGATGCCAGTATCTACGACGTAAATCCAGGTCCCAGAACCGGCGGTAGTGTCATAAACATATGATGTGCTTGCAGCGAAGGCGGCTTTCGTACGATGAGAGATACGGACATCACCCCAGTTATAGCCGAAGGCTGAGGTCAGGGCCCGCTTTGATATTCTGCTGTTCCTGAATTTAGAAGTATCGATAGAACCAGGAGTAGGCAGCGAGGGGAGAACGATTTTGACAGTGGTGGCTTTCTCTAAGTAGCGAACCTGGAAAACGTTAGGTTGGACAAACCTAATGAGAGACGCGGGAATCATTTCGCTTACTCTGGTGTCTTTGGTGATCAGAGGCAGATCTTCGGTGGCAATCTCGACGGCGTAACCATTGAAGCCAGTGATGTTGAACACCTGCTCAATTCCTTGCTTGCCTTTGCCCTTGGATCGGTTGTTTACATCTTCCTCGTGCTTGTTACGATCCTTCAGATCAGCATCGTCTTTGTACACGACGATATATCGATCCTTGATGACACCGTCCGTTGCGTCAGTATTAACGATAGGTGCCTCGGCGAGCACGGCGCTAATAAGGCTCGAAAGAGCGAGCAATGCCGCTAGATACCTCATTGTTCTTAAAAAATAGCAGATAGAATGATTTCGTGAGTAGTCTGTATGGGATGGAACAGTCTACAGCTCTAGAGAAGCTGCGCTCACTGCTATTTAAATGCTAAACATGCCGTGTTTTCAGCTTCTCCCTAAACGTTCATTTACCACAACCTTCTCGCTTTGACTTTATCGAATGACGAATTGAGCATATAATATATATTGTGATGTATCCACTCTAAGGATGTATTAGACACGCGATTGGCTAGGGGATACCGTGAGCCTAACACCTCGCTTGTTGGCCGGGAAGAAGGTGGACAATAACGAGTTTAAGCTAGAAGGGCGCGGAACTTTACAGAGCCTCGATTGTGCCATATTTTCAACTCCAGTGACGTCTGCTGGTGTCATTTGGGGCAGAACTAGCGTACAACTGGCGAGGCACAACCGAAAATGTGGACAAAACAAGTGGATGTTCGGCAAAGCTAGTCTAGTAATAACCAACCGCCTATCTTGGCCCGAGTCACGCGCTGTGAAGGGTCCTCCGCAGGAGGGTCTAGTCGTCTGTGTAATTGTTAGTAGCTTAGTGTAAGGACGGGGCTCTGTACCACTGCGCCAATACAATAAAAAAGGTGTGAATAATCAACCAGCAGTTGATTCTACGTACAAAATAGTAGATATACCTATCGCGCGCAAGGACCATCTCAGCCTTGTAGAGAAATCTACCTTCTTTAAACTTTAATATAATCTACTCTCTCTCTCTCTCTATTACTTTTCTTACAGCTAGCCGCTAAAAGTCTAGTTCGTTAAGCTACTAACACAAGCTCTATGCATTCTATCTAGCATTATAGCATTGTAATTGTATATTAACTACGTAGTAATTTAACGCAATTTTAAGATTTCTAGCGTTGTAATATGCTTAGTATTTAGTCTAGTACCCACGTACACGATATACAGCCTGTAGGTGTTAAGGCATACTATAAATAGCCTTTTTAATATATAAATTAAAGATAAGCTGCTATGTCTTTTTTAATACAGCGTAGAACGTCCCCTACTTCTTTATAAAGTATTTAAGAGTGTTAAATTTAAAATGTTACTAATATAAAGTCCTTTTAGCTACTACTATATATACTTAATAAAGGTAAAGTCTAGTAAATAAAGTAAAAAGTTATTAACATCAACATTATACTTAGTTATTTAATTATAAGTATAAAAAGTAACGTACACTACAGGCAAGTTGCTTACACACCTAAGTTACTTACTTTTGCTAAGACTCTACTAAACTACTCTTCTATACTAATTAGACGTTTTAAAAGGATATTAGATATAGTTTATACTTTAGGCTTTTAAATAAGACATAACACTCTTAAAGCAACATGCTGCAGCTATGTATAAAGTCTTTTAAAAAAATAATAAATAACTAACACACTAGACAACTTTTATAAGCTAATTCTATAGCTAACTTATAAAAGCTAAAAAATAATAAAAAGTAAGTAATTATTAAGTATATACTTAAGCTATATATATAAGGATTTTCCTTTTAGCTAGTAGCTATAGCTAATATAGCTAATTCTTTATACACTAAGTATAATCTAGGCTATGTTAGTTAGTATAAACTAGTCTATGATATTTATAAAGTGTTATTTAAAGCTTAAAGTAAAGTTTAACTATAACTATAAAAAAAAGCTTTTTATAAGAATTTTAAAGTAATTTAAAGCTAGTTTAGCCTTATAAAGAATACTAAAGCTAAGTATAGCATTTAAAATAATAACATATACAACTTTAATAAAATAAGATTTATAATAGGCTAGTTTATGCTAACATAGCCTAGAATATACTTAGCATGTAAAGAATTAGCTATATTAGCTTTATCTACTAGCTAAAAGAAATATCCTTATATATATAGCTTAAATATATGCTTAATAATTACTTACTTTTTATTATTATCTAGCTTTTATAAGTTTGCTATAAAATTAGCCTAGAAAAGTTATTTAGTATATTTATCTGTACGCAGGAGTGATACAGCGCTTAGTATCTATCTAGCCTAGCATAGGATCACAGGACTACGCACGTGGTGCCTGTGCGCGGGCGCGCCTTCTTAAATATCGCTCGCGTCTGTACATAGGGAAGACAAGTAATAACTAGAAACCTGTTGCCCACCCTACCTACTCTGTACGCTGTGCACACTGTACACTACTCTTACTCTTGCTACTTAAGTGCTTATACTATAAGCAGCTAGCTAAAAGAGTCTATTTAACATCTTATCTATTAAAGGCTATGTACACATATATAGATTCAAATATAGAATTCTAACCTAATATATTTTACAAGCAAGTAGTCTACACAAGTAAATAGTCCACTCTAATTGTCACGATTGTGCACAAGTAAGGTTATAGAGCTTTACAGAGGTCTAGTTTAATTACTACGTGAGGTATCATAGTAGGTACAAGACATTGTGTAAGGAATAGAAAAGTTTAAAAAGAAATTAGTAATTAAATACTTAGCTTAAAAGTTTAAGCACTTTAAGTATAAATTAAGCCTGTTCTAAGTTTAGTTAGTGTTAAAGCAGTTTATGCTTAAGTTTATGTCTATGTTATATTATGTTTATGTTAGACATGCACTAATAATACTTTAGTACACGTCTAATATAGTTATGTCTAGGATCTAGGGAGGATACTGTAACAGTACCCCCCCCCCTTATTAGAAAGGGAATCCTTTATATTAGTAGTTCTAGCATTAAGTTCTCTTTATTAGAGTATAGGTTTAGTTTAGATAAGTATTAGGTGTAGAATTAAGTTACTATAGAGTTCTTTTATAAGGCTTCTGCAGGTTTCTATAACAGTTTGTTATATCTAGTTTATTTTATAAAGTATTTATAAATACATTTTTTCTTATTAAACTAAATCTATTTAATATTTTTTATAATGTATTCTAGTTTATTATTTATAATAATAAGTTTAGGTAGCAGGTTTAGCTATCTAGGTAGATAGTTAGATTTAGAGGCTACTTAGCGCAGTAATAATATGTAGAACACAGGGTGTATCTTTATGCTGTTAGGTAGAATTAATTAGTAAGCATATAATAAGACTATATAAGCTACTGTAAAGGGGCTAAGGTTCTTTTAATTAAGTTTCTTTAATTATTAGTTTATTTAGATATTTCTAGTGTTTAGCTAGACCTTCTTGCTAGCTACATACGCAGGGGTAAGAGTTTAAAATTAGTTTATATACTCTTATTAAAAAGCTTAAGCCTATGTAAGCTTTTTATAAACATATTTAAATATATTTTAAATTTTATTAATAAGTCTATTTATATCTATTACTTATATAAATTAATAAGTTAGTTAAAGAGTATTTAAAAGTAGTTAAAAAGTATTTAAAAGTAGTTTAAATCTTATTTAGAGGTAGTATCTATAGTTTGCTAAGAATAAAGATACTTATGTTAATTTAAATATTATATTATTAGCTTTAAACTATGCTATAGCTAACTATTTTACCTAGTTATTTTACTAGTAGTTTATGTACACTTATAGAACTTATTTTATTACAGCATTTATGTTTTTAGTCTAGCTGTTAGTCTCTAGGTAAAAAGCTGTAGATAAATAGAGAATAATTTAGAGCTATTTATAAAGTTTGTCCTAGAAGGCTAAGACAAACTATGTACTTTTATCTAATATAATTATGTTAGGCAGGCTATAGTAAACTTATATGTATTAGTAAAATAACTAGGCTATATTAAAGGCAGTTATAAAAGAATATAGTATTAAGTGTTAATACTTAGTTAAGTAATTAACAACTACTATAATATTTATATACTTTTTAGATAGAGGTAAGTTTATAATAAAATTAATTAATATATCTTTTTAAGCTTATTTAAGAATTAAAAGTAGTTTAAGTAGGCTATTATACCTTTTTTAAAAGGCCTTTACTTTACAGCAAGTATAGCAACATAATACATATTAGTATACAGTATAGAACATGCGGGGCTAGTAGTACTCTCTCTGTAGTAGGTTAAAAGTCTTTCCTCTGCTTAAGTGTTCTTTAATAAGCAAGTTGTGTATAATTTAAAGTAGTTTAATTCTTAGTTTATTAAAATTAAAAATTATAAGTTAGTTATAGTAATATAGCTTACTATTTTAGTTTTTATAGTTAGCTAGTGTTACTTTTTTTAACTAACTAGTGCTATTTTAAAGTAGGTTTAAAGTTTCTTAAATAAATTTATTATTTAGATACTTATTAGTAATAATTTAATTAATTATTTAATCTATTTTATTTAGGTTAAAGTCTAAAAATAGCTTTAGTTAAAGTAAAGTTTAGTGTTAAGCCTTTTACACTTTTTTTTAAGTAGGGACGTCTTAGAATTACCTTATAAGGGCATCTAGTTTCTCTTTATTTTAACTAGAATAATAAGTAATCTTAAAATTAAAATAAAACAGGTATTTAAACTAACAGGCTTATTAGTAGCTAAGTTATTTTATAGTTATAAAGTACTATAAGTTTTTATAGTTAGATAAGACTTATATTAGATGCGCTATACTTTCTAGTTTAAGTTGCTATTATTTAAAGCAGTATACTATAGTAAGTAATTCTTTATTATAAATTTTATAATTACTTTCTATAAAACTTATTCTTTTTAAGAAGTATGTAATAGGCCTAATAGTCCTGTCTAGCTTAGTCTAGGAGAGAACTCCTGCTACTATGTAGTCTAAGGCATTAGCTTCTATAAGTATTAGTAGTTTAAAGTTAAAGTAGTAGAGTATTAGAGCTTTAGTAAAGGCTTTTTTTAGCTAGTTAAAAAACTATTAGTAATTTAAGTTAAAGTTAAATTAAATCTTTTTTTTAGTAAGTGTAATTATAAGGCTTACTTACTATAAAAAGTTATTAATAAATTATTAGTAAAAGTTAGTAAATTTTATAAAAGCTTAAACATCTTTTATATTCTTTAAGTATTACTAATCTAGTACAGTCTAAACCTTAACAGGGTCTATTTAAATGCTATTTATAAAGATTATATATCCTAAATATGTA